TCGAAACGTGCCATTGCTCGAAAATTGACAGCGATTGTCGTGCATCACATGAGGATACGTAAATAAATAGCTGAATTATTTATTATTCATTTCTCGTTGAATCTCAATTTCTTTTTAGGTTTACAATTTGTCTCGAAATATGAAAATTTTACATTTAAATTCTATGAATTCCATTTGTAATGCTTTTTGGAATCAATTATCTATTTGTTGAAAATTAAATTTAGAAAACTCTCGGTAAATTTAATCCTTGGATTATTTATTAACCTTATATAGTTAAAGATTTTTATCAAATACGTTAAATTTAAAAAGTCTAATATGCAATACGAAAAGTTACGGTGATACATATTTGAATAATCTCAATTTTAGATTTTTACATCAGATACATTTTTACATCAGATAAGAGAAATGTGTTGTATCAAAGTTGTTGGAAATATTTTAATATGTCTTTTAGGATATTACGTGGTAATAATACGCAACAGCAGTGCATTTGCATTTATTAACACCTTATATTTATCTTCAATAGAACATACAAATCTTTCGTACTCGTTGCTTTTAAATAGTAATATATGTAGTTAAATAATAATATAATACATTTTTTTAAGGGAAGTAAAATTATAGTAATATAATGCTAATACTATACATGCACTTGTTGCACTTCGTATGATAGGGGAGTGAAGTAAGTATATTTGCTACATGGTCGATTGGTATTACTTGCCCAATAAGTAAAGAAGCTCGTTATCCTAATAATCTTCATGGCCAGGTACTCTACGAAACTCACGGCGGTTAAAGTGATCGATCTTTCTTTCACCAGCTTCCTCGCCGTAAGCAATTTCTTTGTCCGCGCATATTACAATAACAAAGAAAAGTTTCTATAAGAATCACATATTTAAATATATCATGTAAGAATTATTTCTCAATAAATATTTTATATTTAAATATAATTTTTAAAAATATTATTTTATTGATGAATATAATATCATTCCGCGGCAATGATTTCTTTTCATAAACATATACATCTCTTTATAAACATTTATTTGTATGAACACTTTATGCAAATAACTTTCATTAATTTTCAGGTTGTTAGAACAGCGATGACATATTTAAACTTGCTGCGGACAGTTGCTCTATATTTGAGTGAATATTACATCATATACAAAAGAACTTGTCACACTATGCTGAACAAGGTTTTGTAATCTTTTTCGAAATCTCAAAAATAGTCTCCATAGATTCAATTTCGAATTTAATCTTCAGATTTTTACTATCCCGAAATCTGATATCTCTTTTCACATATATATAAAAAATATAACTTAAGTTTCAACTATTAATAAAGTTATTAATAAAATATATAAATCGTATATACATGTACGTGTATACATATAACGGTATACAGAATAATATTTAAACACCATCATTTAGGATTGCCGCAAACAAAATTCTGTAACAGTAACCGTAAACTTAAACCAATGAGCCAATCAGGATATTGCTTTAGATGTATGTAATTTAACGGAAATAGAAATAGCAACAAACTTATCTATAAAGTAAATTTTAACCGGTTAAAATTTGTCTTTCGGATAAGTTTACTTTTCCTATTTTCGTTAGATTACGTAGATCTAAAGCCTAATTGACTCATCGGCTTAAGTTTACGTCTTACGGTTACTGTTACAGAAATTTTGTCTGCCGTAACCCTTAGAGTCCGTATCGCGAACTACTTCGAAGCACAGTTCACTCTTTTTCTACGGAATACATTTTTCTTTCTGCCACATATTGCAAAGACCGAACCACGCGTTCATTAGCCTACGCATGACGTTTTTTCTTTCTCCACGATTTTCTAAAACGGGATAGTCTATATATAATACTGTATTGTCTCCCTCATAGTGTCTACTAACATAACAGCTATTATAAAATGCACCTTTCAGGAAACGGAACGGTTCTTGAAGCACCACGTACTCTTTTCAGATAATCGAGCAAAGTTTTCCGCTACTCGCTTAGAAAATCTCTGCGTAAATCCCTTTTTTCTTCCATGGATATACAAAGTGACGCAAGCGCAAATCATATCGATGACGAGCTTGAAGCCTTACTACTGTCAGTACATATCAATCACTCGTACTGCGATAATGGAGAGTTTACCTCGATATCTTGATCGCAACAAATCTGAATTGTACAATCAGAATTATAAGAATGATTTTCGAACTAATTTGCAACTAAATATCTGGATCATGAAAATAATCGGCACGTGGCCGCTGACACACTCCTCGGTTGAGATGCTATGGTATAAAGTGCTGAATATAATCTGCTACATATTGCTGGCTTTACTCCTAATTCCCAGTGGCATATACATCGTCCTGGAGATCAAGGATTTCTACAATCAATTGAAGCTCGGTAGCGCTCTTACATTCTTCTTCATGGCCGTATTGAAATACTGCGCTTTGCTTTTGCGCGAGAATGACATTCGCAAATGTATCGATTATATTAAGAATGACTGGAGAAACGTGAGATACATGGATGAAAGAAGAATCATGCTGGAGAACGCAAACTTTGGCCGTCGGCTGGTTGTCATCTGCAGCGTCCTCATGTACGGTGGCGTCACGTTCTATTTCGTGGCGGTGCCACTGACTCGCGCGAAGATCAAAGAGGAGGATACCAATCTCACTTATCGCAGGCTGGTGTTTCCAGTGCCCAGTGTGATTGTCGATGCCCGTCGTAGTCCGGTTAATGAAATTTTTTATTTCATCCAGTTATTTGCCGGCTTTATCGCCCACAACATCACGGTGGCCGCGTGTAGCTTGGCAGCTCTCCTCGCAATGCATGCATGTGGACAGCTGCAGGTGCTCATGTCCTGGATAAACCATTTAGTTGATGGTCGAGAAGGGGTCAACGACACCACGAACGAGAGATTAGCTAAGATAATACAATTACACATGCGTATCTTGAAGTAAGTATAAACTTCGGACGTATTGAAATATTACATATGCATTGTTTATCAAAACTTAAGATATCAGAAATTAAATTATGCCAACAATTAAATAATGTATTATGCATAAACAGAATATATGTATGTATATATATATATGTATATAATGAGATTTGCCATAAAATATACACTTTTAAATTTTATAAAGAAGAAATGCGATTATTTGTTCCACGAGTTTTTAGCTTCATATCTCTAACCGAGGAATTGTTGCATGAGATTTCTTTGGTGGAAGTTGTGGGCTGTACGTTAAATATATGTTTTCTTGGATATTATTGCATGATGGTACATATCTATTTAATAAAAGCTTAATTTAATAATTCATAATATATTATAAGTGTGTGTGTGTGTGTGTGTGTGTGTGTGTGTATGTGTTGATTTATAATATAATAAATTCATAAATTCTTATATTGTTAAAATAATAATATAGCAAATATATCGATATCAGTTAATAATGTACCAAAAAATGATCATTTTTCTTATAAAATTTTTTTTATCTTTAAAAGTTTTTATTTACCAGTCATAAATATTATATATTATAGGAATGGGATTTTAAGAAACCTGTGAGCGGCTTAACATATTTGATACTCCTCATTTCGCTTACGTTTAACATATTTATATTTTGTTACATAGGCGAACTTGTAACGGAACAGGTACATCCAATATTTTTCAAAACAACGTTACACAATGTGCAAGTCCTTCGAACGGCAATATGTAATAACATCAAATAATTTAAAAAACATGATATCATCATTTATAACAGAAATCTTTTGATAGATTATAAAAGTACGTGAAAGCTCGTACATGATTGACTGGTATCGACTTCCGGAAAAAAAGAGCCTTGCTGTCATTTTGATAATCTGTATGTCCAATGCGACTACTAGGCTTACTGCTGGAAATATGATAGAATTGTCCATTAGCAGCTTCGGTAATGTAAGTATTATATCCAGGTATAAATATTGTTAAGAAATAATCTGAATTTTAAATATTTTATTTTAATGTTCTATGAAATAGTTTAATTTTTCATCAAATAGTTTAATTTTTCATCAAAAAGATATATAATGAAATTAAAAATTCGATGTATTTTGCACTGCATCTTATTATCTTAAAAATTATAGGTTATCAAATCATCTGTTGCTTATTTGAATATGCTACGAACGTTTACTATTTGAGAAAGTACAATTTGAATTATAGTAGTACTCATTTAATGACATTAAATCTTACGCAAAACAGCAGTAAACTTCGAATATATTTATTTAACAAATCTTGCGCTCCGAATAAGAGTCAAAGTATGTAATATTGCACAGTTTTATTTATGATACTATTTGGAAAATTTTCTCAAGTAATATTTGGATAATATCATTAGATACGTGCAGCTTTATTTCTTTATGCGTAATAAATAAACGATGTTTCAGTACAAAACAATAAACTAAAATTCTTTCTTCCTAATACGTTTTTATAAAAATATATATATTTAAAAAATTTCGTTCAAATGATATTAGAATAATCTATTCAATATTAGAATAATCTATTCAATTATAAAATAATGTGTATAATCTTGGAAGCACGTTGTAAAATAAGATATTTTGTTCGTTAAGAAATATATTGTAATATTTTTAATTCCATGTGATTATGTATAAGCATTATGTAATATGTGTATATTAAATGCTAAATCATATTCATCCCCGTTTAATAATATCATATAATATCTTACGCAAGAAAGAAACAGTTGCGATTCGCTCCAATAAATCGCGGAAAATCTCTCCGTGAAGAATGTAAATTTTTCCATTCTTAATTCATGAACAGACAAGGGCAGTACCACAGAAGGTGAGGAACCCTTGATCCCTCTTACGGAAATCAAGAATAGTATCTGTAAAGTTTACCCTTCTGTGTTCTGCCCTTTTCCTAGAAGAGAAATTGTACGGAACGGCGCAGACGCGACGCTTTACTTTCCTCGCTCAAATCTCTCGCGCAGTCCTCTCAGTTATCATCAAGCTCTCGTCACTTCAATCATACTAGGAAGCTTTCCATAATGGAAAGAACAAGTTCTGTCGCAACAATCTACGATCACGAGAAAGATATGCAGTTGAGCATTCAGCTGAATCGTTGGATACTGAAGCCGATCGGTGTCTGGCCGAAATTAACCGAGATTTCACGTATGGAGAGATACGCGTACGGACTGATGAATGTCATTTGCACTAGTCTAATAGGCTTCCTCTTTGTACCCTCCGCGATCTTTATGTTGCTTGAAATGGATGATGTATATCTCATTTTAAAACTTTCCGGTCCGTTGAGTTTTTGCCTAATGGCCGTTATTAAATACTCCTCGCTAATTTTCCGCGAGAATGACATCCGCAGTGGTATCAGGCACATCGAAAGCGACTGGATAAACACTCGGCATTCTAATGATCGGATCATCATGATCAGGAACGCCAAGTTCGGTCGGCGTCTCGTGTCGATCTGCGCATTCTTCATGTATGGTGGTGCCGTGTTTTATTATCTTGCTCTGCCTTTTAGTAAAGGCAAGATTACCGAGAGTGATGCAAACTTGACGTATCGGCCACTGGTGTATCCAGTCGCCAGTGTGATTCTCGACGCGCGACATAGTCCCATCAGTGAGATTCTCTTTTGGATTCAGTGCCTGTCGGGTTTCATAGCACACTCCATTACTGCCGGTGCATGCAGTTTAGTAGCCGTGTTTGCGATGCATGCCTATGGCCGTCTGGAAGTCTTAATACAATGGATTGAACATCTAGTGGACGGTCGGGAAGATTTCTGCGATAACGTGGATGAGAGATTGGCAATGATTGTACAGCAGCACGTTCGAATCTTACAGTAAGTTACTCTCTAACATGGATCGTCGGTGTTTCTTAAAACTCTCATTGAAGTGTTAAAAATGAATTAAAGAGCGCACTTTACACATATGTAGAGCGCTGCAATTAATTTCTAATTATTACGAACTAATTATACGAACAAGTAACAAAATCGCGTCTCTCATGTGTTTGCCCAGTCGACACCATCTAATATAATATCAATGTTATAATTTTAATTTCAATAATATAAATGTAATATAATATAACATAAATGATAAAGTGCGAAATTATAATATTGATGTTATGTTATTTTTGATATCAACTGGGTATATTTTATGCAATAACATATACATTATTTTCCAGTTTTATATCGCTAACGGACAAAGTATTACGTGAAATATCTATCGTGGAAATTGTAGGGTGTACATTAAATATGTGTTTTCTTGGATATTATTCTCTTACGGTATGCATATTGTACAACAAGTACGTACCAAAGCGCATCGCTATTTCGAAGCAATGTCAACGTGTACAATTTACAATATATATGTATTCGATATGTACAATGTATATGTCGAATATAGAAATTTTCATGTTCCAGGAATGGGAGACAAAAGAGACTGCAAGTTACATAACATACATTGTCCTGCTTATATCTCTTACGTTCAATATTTTTATATTTTGTTATATCGGTGAACTTGTTGCCGAAAAGGTAAAATCTTCACAATCGAAGCATTTGTCTGCGCACATATGATAAATTTAATGACAAACTTTATGATGAAGTGCACCTTTATAGTTTATTTTTATAATTGCTGTATTATAATTTTAATATAATAATGAAATTTGTAAAATTAAGAATTTATACAGAATTAATTCTTTCTATGTATTTATATCATATAAAAAAATAAAATAATCTTGAAAAATAATCTGAAAAATAATCTGTAAACAGTGCAAGAAAATAGGTGAAGTATCATATATGATCGATTGGCATCGTCTATCAGAAAGAAAGGGTGTTGCCCTCGTATTGATAATCGCTATGTCCAATTCATCGATTAAACTTACCGCTGGAAATCTCTTCGAATTGTCTCTCAGTACTTTTGGTGATGTGAGTAACGCAATGTCAATATCTATCAATATTTATCGAGAAATATGATTTATATATCATTTATCCAACCAATAGGTGGTTAAGACATCTGTTGCTTATTTAAACATGCTGCGTACTTTAACTGCATAAAACTTGTCTGAAATGTAAAAATTATTAACATGATTAATGATTGTAAATAAAAAGTCAATTATTTGATGCCAGTTATTTGATATATTTCGAAAAGAAAAAAGAAAATAAATGCAATTTTAAAAATAGAAAAAATTGGTTAAAATTACTAAATATTTACTGAAAAGGAAAATAAAATATTTTTCGCATATTTTCCACGAAAATATTTCTTAACATTTCATACATTATTATTTTCATACATTATATAAAATTGTGCAATAAGAAATACTCAGAATAAAATTGCAAAAAATTACTTATTAATTGGCATAACATTTTCCATGAATTACAACAGCAAAAAATTTCAAACGTTTTGAATTATCGCATTTTAATGATCCTTCAAATAAAACATTAAAATATATTAGGTGTACAACTCTGCTGTTTTTTTTCCGAAATTCAAGGCTTTATTGTAAAAAACTGGTTTATGATTCAAAGTATTATCCATCGCTGGCCACTACTTTCTCCCATTTTTCGGGCAGCGTACGAATCCCACGTTGAAAAAACTGGTTATCTTTTGAGGCGATCCACGAATCGATCCAATTTTTCACTTCTTCATAAGACCGGAAGTGCTGGTCAGTCAGGCCGTGTGCCATTGATCGAAACAAGTGATTGTCAGAGGGAGCAACGTCTGGAGAATACGGCGGGTAGGACTTCCTATTTCAACGTTTCCAGGTATGTCTTGACCACTTTCGCAACATGGGGTCGAGCATTGTCATGCTACAAAATCACTTTATCGTATCTCTCGTTGTATTGGGGCCGTTTGTCTTTCAATGCTCGGCTCAAACGCATCAATTGCGTTCGATACCGATCGCCTGTGTCGGTTTTAACAGCTCATAATACACTACGCCGAGCTGGTCCCACCAAATACAGAGCATGCCCTGGGAGCCATGAATATTCAATTTGGCCGTCGACGTGGAAGCATGGCCGGGAACTCCCCATGATTTTCTGCGCTTGGGGTTATCATAATGAACTCATTTTTCGTTCCCAGTCACAATGCGATGCAGAAATCTCTTCCGTCTTTGCCTTTCAAGCTGCTGTTCACAAGCAAACAAACGCCGTTCAACATCTCTCGGCTTCAACTCGTACGGCACCCAATTTCCTTGCTTCTGAATCAATCCCATGGCTTTGAGGCGTTTTGAAATGGCTTATTGAGTCACTCCCAATGATCGTGCCAATTCTTCTTGATTTTGACACGAGTCTTGATCAAATAATGCCTCCAATTCTGCATCTTCGAAAACTTTCTCTCTTCCACCGCTATGCCGGTCTTCGACGTCGAAATCACCGTTTTTGAAGCGTTGAAACCAATCACAACACGTTCTTTCACTAATAGCGGCCTCACCATAAGTATTTGAGGGCATTTGATGAGCCTCAGCCGCAGATTTCTTCATATTGAAGCAGAAAATTAAAACCTCCCGCAAATGACGAGAATTTGACTCGTAAACTGACATTTTCAATCGAGAATAACTTTATAATGCAGACACAAATCGACTAATATTTCTATGGGGTTATGTTGACAGATGTCCAAGTTTATTGTATGATGTCTATGATATATTTATTTCGACCACCACTTACCGCTAAAGCCATCTATAGGAAAACGGCGGAAGCAAAGTACACCTAATATATTGTAATATTGTACACCTAATATATTGTAATATTGTATTATTTATTATCTAGTATTATAAGATGTACACGAAATTTCTGATATTTTGAAATGACAAAAAATAAAAATAAACATGAATGCATATTTCTTTTTATTATAAAGAACAACTAAAAAATTTTGTTTTAAATTATCTAACATTTACATGAGCACCTTTAGTCGTATGAAGGATATTGTGTAGGTATTCCACTTCACATCATATTAGCTGAAATATGTCATGATACCAATGCCGGCTACAGTTCAGTTGCGCAAAACATTTACGACCAATACCTTGATGAAGTAAACTGTCTTGGATATAACTTCCAGAAGAAATCCAAGGGAATGATACCAAAGGAACAAGAAGATCATCGGGGAATGGGATTACCTTCGCTTAATCCAATGATCTAAAAACCACTAAAGGTGTTCATGTGGAAGTTTGGAAATTTTTGCAAACAATTTTTTAGTTGTTCTTTATATTAAAAATATCTAGAAATATGTACTGTTTGTTTTTATTTCTTATTATTTTAAAATACTGGAAGTTCATCGTAAACATCCTATATTTTAAAATTGAATATGTATATCTTTTCGTATATGTATAATATCTGATACGTACTTTATTATTTGATATATTAATGAATAATAGATATTTCAATATAAAACAACAAAACATAATATTCTTAAAATGTCTTCATAATATATTTTACAACAATTATATATATAAATATATACATATATACAAACGTATTAAATAAAATTAAAGTACATTTAAATATATTACTTAAATTTTAAATAATATATTTGAACGTATAATTCTCTCTATCTTATTTAACATTAAACAATTTCTCTAATTGTTTTTCATAAGATAATAAGACAAAGTATTTTCTTTAGTTAAAAATATATAGCAGTAATATTTGTATGTCTATAAAATTGTATTTCTATATATACTCATGTATAAGCATTATAGGTAAAATCGTATTCGTGCACACATATATAATATCTCACGCAAGAAAAAAGCGCTTGCAATTTGCTCCGATAAATTGCGGAAAAAATCCCGCAAAGTATGTAAATCTTTCTGTTCATAATTCAGGAATAGACAGGTGCAGTATCACATGAGGAAACTTTGATTCCCCTTTGCGGAAATTGAGAATTGCGTCTAGAAAGTTTACCCTTCTCTTGTACTCTATTACTTGATCGTCCCTCTCCTAGAAAGAACACGGAACAGCGCAGTCGCGTTTTGACTTTCCGCACACAAGTTCTTGCACAATCCTATCAGTAACCTTCGAGCTTTCATCACTTTAACTAAGCATAAAACCATTATAATGGAGAAAGCAAATCCAGTGACAGTTGTTAACGATTATAAGAAAGATCTGCGGCTAAGCATCCAACTGAATCGTTGGATACTCAAACCGCTCGGTGCCTGGCCGAAATCAATCAAGATTTCATTTATACAGAGATACGCGTATATGCTGGTTAATGTCATTTGCGTCAGTCTAATCGGCTTCCTCTTTGTACCCTCCGCAATCTATTTGGTGCTTGAAATGGATGATGTTTACAATATCTTGAAACTCACCGGGCCGCTGAACTTTTGCTTAATGGCCGTCATAAAATATTCCTCATTGATCTTCCGCGAAAATGACATCCGTAGTGGTATCGAGCATATTGCAAACGACTGGATTAACACTCGGTATTATGATGATCGAATGATCATGATCAAGAGCGCGAAATTCGGTCGACGTCTCGTAACGATTTGTGCGATTTTTATGTACGGCGGTGCTACTTTCTATTATCTCGCTTTACCGCTGAGTAACGGCAAGATCACTGAAGATGGCGGAAACTTGACGTATTGGCCGCTAATGTATCCTGTTTCCAGTATGATAGTCGATGCGCGACGTAGTCCTATCAGTGATATTTTTTTTTGTGTACAATGCTTGTCGGGTTTCATTGTCCACTCTATCACTACCGGTGCATGCAGTTTAGCAGCCGTGTTCGCGATGCATGCCTACGGCCGCTTAGAAGTCTTAATGCAATGGATCGAACATCTAGTAGATGGACGGGAAGACTTCTGTGATAACGTGGATGAAAGATTGGCAATGATTGTGAAGCAGCACGTTCGAATCTTACAGTAAGTCAGTTTTCGACGAGCATTGTCGGTGCTTCTCTTGCTTTCAACATGTACATGTATCTCTAAATAGCGCTTCAATTTATTTTTAATTGTTTAGGAACACTTAACGAAATCGTACTTTTCGTATAAAATATTTTCTACGCAATAACGTATCGGTCGTCTTCCAGTTTTATAACGCTGACGGACAAAGTGCTGCGTGAAATATCTATGGTGGAAATTTTAGGATGTACATTAAGCATGTGTTTTCTTGGATATTTTGTTATCACGGTATGCATATCGTTCAAAAAGTACATAAAGCGCATTACTATTTGAAGTAATATCAGAGATTGTTGTTCACGATTAACAACAATGTCAATGATCTTAAATATAGAACGTTTTTACATTTTCTTTCCAGGAATGGGAAAGAAAAGATATGACAAGTTATGTAACATATGTTGTTTTATATACATCTCTTACGTTCAATATTTTCATATTATGTTACATCGGCGAGCTTGTTGCCGAAAAGGTAAAGTTCTAAAGTCCTAATTTAAAGAGCATCTCTTTGCACCATTGATAAATTTATTGCCAAACCTCATAAGTACGTTTTTACGGTATACATAGGTCATTTTCTCGTAATGGCAACAATAATCATTGAAGTTAACCATTTAAGAAATACTCATTGTCAGTTTTTGTCCTATAATAAAGGTGCGTGCTGTCAGTGCTGTTGCGTCGTTCTATCTTTGTTTTACGTCTAATAAATAATGACGATAGAATAACGTGGTAGCGCTGACAGTGCGCTCCCCAAACGAGCCCAAATGATCCTATATACAAATGAGCTCGTAACTTCAGTGTCTGATTTGTACAAACAGGAGAAATAATTCAGTATTTATTTCATCACTCTAACCAATGTTCACGCATGAACAGCTGAGTTTTATCAAAATACAGGTTGCACGAGAGAGCAACGCACGTCAATGTCACTGGAAGAGGTATCTAGAAACGCTGCGTTCTGTATCGAATATAAGAGGTGAGACGACTTTTCGATATGAACGTGAAAATATCTTCCATCAACATGACGGCCATCCTGTGACATCGACAGATGAAGAATACGTTGCATCTGTTTAAGATTATAAGACATTGTGGATACATAAAAAATTGAGTGTGAAATTCAAGAAATTCTCTAACCAAAATCATAAAATAACGTCCCAAACTTTGATTGTGATGCTATTTTTC